CGGGGAACAGCCTCTGAGCAAAGCGAATACCTTGTCCAGGCAAAGATCTTACATACAAGATAGAATCTCCGTCATAGATACAGGGTGCGAGGAAGTAGAACCAAATTAGAAAAAAAAAAGAATATTAATCGGCAGAAAGAAAAAAGAGGCTAAAACAGCACCTGGACATGGATGGCTGGTGCCTCTATACATTATTGATGATTTTGAAGCTCTCTATCGTTTCTGCAGAGGAAACATAGGAATGGCACAACTTGTTAGTTTCATTTTTGTTGTTTTTCACACAAGTAGAGTAACTCTGTTCTCAAAGCGGGCGCTTTTTCGAAGAGGGCGCCACCAGATTTCAAGGACATTTTTTTTTAATTGGCTCAAAGAGAAGAGTGAACTATCTTGTATACATTCGACATGATCTTTTGCCCTGATGATTATGATCATAGTATAGATTCTCAATGATTTTTTTAGCTGTTACTTTTTCAGCTTACGTATTATAATAGACTCGATATTTTTCTCTGTTATCTCAAGCTAAGTTCTGGGTACACTCAAAACACCCCCCCCCCCCCCCCCCTCTTTAGACGTTGTCATGTTTAGGACTGCGCTAATAGCATTTTTTGCCATTTTGAGACAGAAATTCTACTCACAGAATAACTCTCTGCTGCAACCTTCATAGAGGCTACACCGGTAAGTGGATGCAATACACCCGGAAGCCTATGTGTATCATATTATGTTTTAGTAAAAATTATACTCATTACCTCTGTATACAGAGTACTGGAAAGGGGCTGAAGGCGTAGAGATGCACAGAAATCTAGTATTTGGAATGGTCCATAGAATATTTTAACAATCCTCAATCTAAGGGTGATTTGACTGAGCTCTGGTTATTGAAAATCGAGACGAAATGTAACGCATCTCGTTCAGCTGGTTTCGATACTGTGAGCAAATGCTCCAAGTGTATATGTAACAAAAAAAATAGTGACGTCGATTGCCCACTGGTAAGGCTAACGGAACAGTAATCGTGGCATTGTGGGTTCGGGGGTTCGAGCCTTAGCTCGGTCCGACGTTATGTCCTAGAGAAGGGCACTTCACACTAATTTCCCGTTTATTGGCTTCGTCCTTTCGGAGATGGACGTTAAACACGGAGGTCCAGCCTCCTTAATAAGCTAATAGTTTTGATTGGGGCATTATAAACCTTGCTCCATTTCATAATTTTCAAAAAGAAGTGATATAACATAATAATATACTAGTCGCTGTTCCTCGATGGCTGCTACATGTTCGCTATGCCCCGGTCACGATCTCCAGCGCAACTTGAGAAAAACAACAACAACAACAACAACAACAACCCGCAACTCTCACCTCAGACGCCAAAGAAAGGAACGGGGGAAAGCTGCCCCCAATTCTGACTAATATAGGTTGACATCTGCCTGGTGTTACAGGAGACTCTTCTCCCACCGTTTCCAGACGTGTCGCCAATCTTATTGATTCCAAAAGATTCTACCAAACTGGGCACCACGACCTAGGAAGGGGATGCGAGTGTTCGACCGTTTAGCCCTCGCGGGTACTCGTCGGAGAAGTTTATAATATTTGAGTAATCACTCGAGTTCAAAACGTCTGAGTAATCTGGGAATTACTCGAGTGATTACTTTGCTAATCCAGTTAGAGGTTTCAGTGGAAACAAATATTTTGCAATTTACGTCGTCTTTGTTTCTTGGTGCAGTGTACTCTTTTCCTTTTTACTTTTGTTATTTGTGCATTGTTCAAATCATCCTAGTAAGCTTCAAGTTTGTCTTCTTTGTTTTGACTATTTCTCTTTCCTGCGTTTGTATTATTGCTATTATTAATTAGAGGGTGCGGTGGCGGAACGGTTAGTACGCTCGTCTCCGATGCGGAAAGTCCAGGTTCGAGGCTCGGTTCGGACACGGATTTTTTCGCCCCCTCCTGTCCACCCAGCAGTAATGGGTACCTGACTTCGAGTTGGGGAAATAAAAGAGGCGTGGAAAGAAATAAGCCACCCTACCACAATATGCCGAAGGCCCAGGAAGTTGTCTCACTAACAAGGCAGTCCCCCAAGTCCGGATCGGAAGCGGGAGCAACATTACTTTACTATTATTTAGCTATTAGTAAAAAACACATTACACCTGTGCCAAGGATCCGAGTATTCGAGTAATCAAGTACTCGGGTACTCACACGAGTATTTTATAATCAGTCGCGCTCTGACTCCATCCAAATACTGGACACACACACCCTCACTAAAACCTAAGGCAGACATATAAATTAAAGTTGGTATTTCACTTCTGCCGTAAAGCGGAACATAGTGTATAGATCTATTTGACAGCCAGTCTACCAAATTATGATAGTAGTTTGACAGTAAAATTTAAAGACGATGCTTATTGCTACAAACGCTGTCTACGTCTTTTCGCCCTGCCATTATACCTCGCGTTTTGTATTTTAAAATAATTTCTGTCTTTTGATTTTGAAAAGTAACTCTACGTTGAGACCTATTTGCCAATTTGTCATTGAGTTGGATTTATTTCTTCACATTGTTAGTCGCAAAAAGTAGACAGACACAAAACATTTAAATGAAATTATACAGACAGAAAATTCGCTCAGGAGACATTTCTTTACTTAATCTTTCCCGTCCCAGTGTTGTTCTTTCTGTACTGTCTCTCTCTCTCTCTCTCTCTCTCTCTCTCTCTCTCTCTGTTT